GAGGGGGTCATAATCACTGTAGCCACTGAGCAGCTGACACCTTCTTCTGGGCTCTGCAGGGACACCATACATGTGATATATTTTCTTTCTCTCCCTTCCTCTCTCTCTCTTCCTCCCTTTCCACCTTCTTCTCCCTTCCCCTCCCTCTCTTTCACACACACACACACATACACACACACTAAATCTCAAAGTGTGTGGGGGAATCCCAAACCCCACTATAATTAAACTCTACAGGAGACTGGCAAGGTGTGGCATTCACGGTAGGGGGGGAGAGGGGGGTAGGAACTTAACAGGCTGACCTAGAGAAGCTGCCACTGAGATATGCTTAGAAAAATGACTTTGAAACAGAATCCTAGGTTCTGAAGGGGCACAGGTAGTAAACGCAGTGGGGAGAGCTTTGACTCCAAAGCCTGACTGGCTGGTGTGACTCTTCTACCTGTGTAGGCCTGAAGTGGTAGCTAACTCTACATGACGGCTGTTGGATGGTTAAATAACAATATATGTGCAACGTGCAGACTTCTGAGGGGCTGGCACAGGCTGGGGGCCCCGACACCATCAGACTTCTACAGGCACCCGGGGAGTCCTAGACAAGTACTATTTGCCAGTGTCACCGTCAGAGCCACAGCCTTAAGACGGTTCCAAACATGATACAGGGGTTATAGAAAAGTGTATCTACTCCAAGAAAGTATAGAAACTTGGCCATTCAGTAATCTTTCATGAACTGAAGCTGCACATACCATCTTTGAGTCCTCACTACACCTTTCCTGCAACCTCTCGGGAAAATTTCCAGTACCCCGATCATGTCACACAACAGTATGAAAGCCATTATTTTCTTTTATAGTGGTTCTCAACCTTCTGAATGCTGCAACCCTTTAGTACAGTTCCTCAGGTTGTGGTGACCCTGAACCATAAAACTGTTTTTCTTGCTACTTCACATCTGTAATTTCCCTACTGTTACGAATCATAATGTAAACAGCTGACACGTGAGCCCAGAGAGGGCCGCGACCCACAGGTTGAGAATCACCATTTTGGACTTATGCCATTATTTCTTCCAGGTTATATTCTGTCACAGAAATTAGCACACCTAAATGCAAAAGGCCTTTACCACGCTGTGCTCAACAGCCCCATTTTTAAAATGTTATTTCTAGCTTGTCTTGTAGGAAATTTCACTCTTTTAGAGGATGGAGAAGTCAACTAGCCCAAGTTCTCATGCAAAAGAAAGAAAGGCATCGAGCAAGTGGGCAAGCATGGATATGAGCTCCGGGGAGGGGTAACCAGGTAATTCTGGAGTGAAACCCGAGCTCACGCTGTTACTGAAAGCCACTATTCTTTACAGTGGTTCTCAAACTTCCTCACACCACAACCCTTTAATACAGCTCCTCCTGCTGTGGTGACCCCCAACCATAGAATTATTTTTGTTGCTACTTCAGAAACGCCAGAAATAGTAGCCTGGGGATGATAAAAGAATCCAAGGAGAGTGACTTCATTGCTTTTGGAAAGAACAACTTGAAGTGGTAGAATGATGGTTTCCAGATCTTTGAGAGCTAAGCGGTCTCTGCCCAAGACCGGGCAGAGAGGTGCAGCGATATCTGGTTACCGGGTGCGGCATAAAAACGTGCTCAATGAAGGTAAGGGGGAATGAGGAAGCCATAGCACTGGTCACAAGACACACGTGCAAAGTCACGCTCCCTTGCTCTGAGGAAATGACTAAGAGATACAGCCTGTTTGGGTTTGCGAAAGAGACGAGGGCCAAACCTAAGCTTCTAAAGGCCCGTTCTCGAATCCCCGAAGGAAGGGAGCGCCTGAACCTTGTACTCTAGCATGACCCTAAGGGGTCACAACCCCGCCCCACCTCACAGGCCTGCCAAGGGCTTCCCGCAGAGTGCTCCATGAACACTTACCTTCCGACGGCTCCCGTCCTGGTTGTCCGGCCTCCTCCTCAGGGATGTCCTCCCTCCTCCAAAAGAAGGACACCAGCTTGGCTGCGAGGCGCAGCATGGTATCCACTCGGTCGCCACCTCCGCCCCGGCTTCTCACACGCCCGCCACAGCCCCTCCCATAAGCCACTACGCATGCGCCTGTAGACCCCAGCCAATGGGGTTGTTGTGTCTGCGCCTGCGCCTGTCTATCATAGAACTCGGCCAATAGGGTCCTTGTATATTCCATGAGTCACGACCGTTAGCAATCAGAAGGTGGCGGTTAGCACATGATGGAGCACGGAACTCCTCGTGCAGGTGACACGAGGCCTGGCATGCGCAGTGTCTGGAAAAGGGGGTGGAGCTTTGACCTTAAGAGTGGTTTTGTAGGATGTTTCCTCTGTTCCAGCGTTCCTAACATTAACAGTTTTACTTTTTTTTTTTCTTTTTTTGAGAATGGACATTATATACCTAGGCTATGAACTCACGATGCTTTTGCATTTCTGATCCCCCTGCCTCGATCTCCCAAGTTCAGAGGTTACAGGCCTGTGTTACACCACAGTGCTTTAGGCTGTGCTACAGGTCCAAAGGGCCTGACATGCTTAATATTTCTCCAACAGAGCTACATCCCAAACCTGTGAAGTTTGGCTTTCTTTGTTTCCTCGTTGTTTTTTAAGTAAGCATTTAAAACTATAGATTTCTCTTTAAAGTTTCGTTAAGATGCATCCTACACAATATGAGTTACAGTTTCATTTTGTCTTGTGGTTTGAGCTTTATTTTGCTCATTCCCAGCCCCACTGGCATGTTATCAGTATACGACTATTTAGAGTTTCTGCTACTGATGTAATTTAATTAGTCTTAGTAAAATTTGGCTGACTTCTGTTTTTGAAACTTGTCAGGGCCTAGTGATCTACCTTTAATAGGACTTGGGGGGAAGAGGCAGGCAGATTTCTGTGAATTCCAGGCCAGTCTGGTCTTCATAGTTCTTCGCCTGTCAGGGTTATAGTGAGACCCTGTCTCAAAACAAAATAAAACACAAACCTTATCAAGAGTATCCCGCACTATGCTGATCTCCTGAATCTCCTTCACTGGATGTTCTATGTGTCATAAACCACATGTATTCTGTTGTGTTTGTTAGGGGTCTGATTTAGTTCTAGATTAGGTTTGTTTGTACATCGTATCAGGTTAATTTAGAGTCTTCTTGAGTGATGGGGTGATGGGAGCATTCCTTAAGCATTTAGAGGCTGTCATAAAACCTTTTCGGGTGTGTTACTCAGAATACACAGGAAAATAATAAAGGACCTGTCTATTTATACAGTTGGAGTCATCTTCAGAGATCCTGGCTAGGTACCCCAGTTAGGCTTTCTATCACAGTATATGGTAGTCCCAGTTTTCAGGACTGTGTGTCATTGCTACCAGCCTGAGCTGTTGCCCCAGATCAGCCTCTTCTACATTTCCAAGCAGTTGCCTTACAGACTTTGTAACTTCATATCTAAAAGAAAATATGCGATGTTGCTCCAAGACCTTTCTCTCTGTCTAAAATAGCCCACCATACTGACAGCAAATAGGATGGATTGGCTCCTCCTTGTCTATCTGGAATTGGATCCCTTCTCACCATTTTGGGTCCCATCTCTCTATCCCCCATCCTGTTCTCCACCCAGCACCATAATGCCACCTTGACCAAGTCCACCTCAGGGTTAAAGCCAAGTGGTTTCCATGCCTACAGGTGACTTTTACTTAAATAGCCTCTGTGTTCTACTTCCCAGAATCTTCAGCTCACCTTTCTTCAGCCATGCTCCTGCATGTTCCAGGGCCTTGACACCTATGAGGCCTACCCCTCTGTGCCTTTAGTTCTGCTGTCTCCCAGAAGTCTACACATCTCACACAGAGAAAGCCAAATGTGTTGCCATATGGCACAGCGGAACACACACGCAAAAAACCATGGCCTGTATAAATAAGTATTCAGTGGGCAGAGGGAAAAGGGGCAGTTGTTTGAAGATTCTACTGAAGAACAGGGCGTGCTCTGGGAACTAGTACTGCAGCAGCAATCAAGACATGACATTGTTGGAGCTCAGAAAGTATGCTCTCCCTCTCTGTTTCAAAACAGCTGGTTTGTGTTTCTCAGTGGGAAACACTTTTGAAAGTCACAAAAGTGATGATGTTTGCTAAACATTTCCCCTCCAAAAAAACACAGGGCCAGGTGGTAGTGGTGCACACCTTTAAACCCAGCACTTGGAAGGTAGAGGCAGGCAGATCTCAGAGTTCAAAGCCAGCCTGGTCTACAAAGCAGCTTGCAAGACAGTTAGGAATACACAGAGAAACCATGTCTCAAAAAATGAAAGAAAAAAACCTAAACAAACAAACAAAAAAAAAAGAGAGAGAGAAAACATAGGAGAATTCAATCCAGTTGGATCCATTTTCGTGAATTTTACTGACCACTTTAATGCTTAGTAAATTTGGGAGTTTCTTCAACACATTTGAAAGAAGTTCTAGATGTCTCAGAGAACCATTTGGGTGAATTGTTTCTTTTTTCAATTTTATTTTTATTCTGTGTGTATGGGTGCTTTGCCTGCATGTATGTGTACCATGTGTGTGTCTTATGCCCACAGAGGCCAGAAGAGGGCCTGGAACTAGAGTTATAGACAGTTGTGAGCTGCTATGTAGGGCTGGAACTGTGAGCCACCATATGAATGCAGGGAGCTGAACCCAAGATCTTCTGCAAGATCAGCCAGTGCTCTTAACCTCTGAGCCATCTCTCTAGCCTTTTATTGTTTCTAATCCTTTTTGTTTGGTTGAAAAGCTAAGATAACCAACCATCCCTGATTAGAAACTAGTGGCTGAGTTTAGGCTGCATGGGGTTCTGCTGCTCAAAGGGGTTGTTTTTTCCAAGTACTCCAGGCTGAGTCTTTTTTTTTTTTTTTTTTTTTTTGCAATGTGCACAAAGAAATTGTTGCTGTAATTGCCAGGGTGCCAGTGTCTCCAGGCAAATGAAGCACATTCATGTCCCTTTTCTCTGCCTAGTGAGCAGAAATAAAGGGTGCAGTGGGGCCATTCCTGCCAATCCTTAGGGCTGCCATGGGAACTCATGGTGGAATTCCCAGCAGTTCAAGGGCCAGCCTTGCCAAAGTCGAGAACATAAAGGTTTATGCCGCCCGATGAAGGAGATTTCTGTAGCGTAATAATGGGAGACAAAGAAAGACGGCTTAAAAAGATGTAGACCTTTGAGTAGTTTTCTGTTCCAGGCCCAAGGCTGGTCAGGATCCACATCCAATGCTGGACTCTTGTTCTTAGCCATACTTCTTTTTCCAAGACATCCACCTGGCTAGTATGTTGTGAGGGGAACCAAGGGCTCTTCCTTTCCTTCTCGTATTGGGAAAGCTCCAAGCCAGTGGTTATACAATCAAGGAGAACATTTCTAGGATCCACTCCCTTAATCTCCTCATTGAAATTCAGGAAGCTGTGTGCCTGCTCCTGGCTGAAGTGCAGATTGGCTGAGCTTTTGTTCCACTTATGAATACTTCTTGCTGGAAGTCCATCACCCAGAGGCCTGCTCTCCCAATTGCCGGACGACAGCAGAGGTAAGCATTAAGACATTAAACTGCAAAGTAGGAGCGTCTTTTGTAATCTCATGGTCTCATTTTGTGCTGGATAGGAGCTCCCCTCTGTTTGGGACTCATAAAGTTGCTGGCGGAAGTTGAAACGTACTATATCTGAAGACTGGGATGAAGTCTGAGTGTGCTGAATCTAGATGAGTTTGGTGTTTTATTTATGTGAGAGTTAGGAGTTTATTCTTTTTTTAAGTTCACAGTCCTAGAGCACGAACATATTCCTTTAAGAAAGTGTTTGCTTAAACCAGAGGTGATAGTGTTTACCCAGGCAGAAGTTTAAGGCTGGCCGGGGCCACACAGTGATACTTTGTCTCAAGAGAAAAATTCCGAAGCAATTTCTTGATAATGTCTTACTGCCATTGGAGAGTCTTCAGTTGTCAAAGTCCATGATGATCTCATTGCATAGGAGGCAATGGTGGTTTGAGTCTGTTCGTGAGTCTCAGCTTGGGTGTGTGTCATTCTTGGTAACATGCCTGTTTCCAGCGCCATGACACGGGAGGGGCAGTTCAGGGAGGAGCTGGGCTATGACCGGATGCCCACACTGGAGAGGGGTCGGCAGGATGCAGGACGGCAGGACACAGGCAGCTACACCCCTGACTCAAAGCCCAAGGACATGCAGCTGTCGAAGAGGTTGCCCCCGTGCTTCAGCTACAAGACATGGGTATTCTCTGTGTTGATGGGGGTGAGTAACTCAATACTGGTTCAGAGGACAGCAAACACCATGTTCCTTCAGTGCTGGTCATGCTTTATAGATTGCAAAGCCCGATAGACTGGGAATCATTCTGTCCCTTTCTTTTTCTCTTTCTTGTTTTCCCTCCCCCCCCCTCTCTCTTTCTTTTTTCCAGTTTTTCTGTGTAGCCCTGGCTGTCCTAGAACTTGCTCTGGAGACCAGGATAGCCTCAAACTCAGAGATCCACCTGCCTTTGCCTCCCAAGTGCTGGGATAAAGGTGTGTGCCACCACTACCACTGGTGGTACTTATTTTGTTTGTGTCCCGTCAGTTACTTTTCTCAGTATCTGCCATGGGGGCCTATGCCCCTAAACTGTACTTATCCTGAGACCACAGTTACTTGTGACTACATGCTCCTGTACTCCTGTACTTGAGTGGTCTGTGAAGGCTGGAGGCCAACCTCATGCTTCAGGGTAGCTCTATGGAGTAACTGACAAGAGTTGTGGCCAAGTCTGGGGTCAGAACCATGGAACAGGAAGGGCTACAAAAGCCATAGGACTATGGGGACTATGGGAGACCATGGGAAGGGCTAAGTTGGGTGTAGCTAGAGAGCAGATCCATGCTACCCCAGGGTGAAGCAGTGCCACATGGGGTCCCAGGACACTTGTACACAGTCTTATGGATAATCAATTGGAGAGCTTAAAGCATCATTTGGCCCTGAGTGTGCACAGTACCTGAGGACCCAGATGTTGTATGTATTTCTCTATGGAAGGAGCCGGGTTTTGTGCAGCCCTAGCCTGAGAATGTTCAGACAGGGACCTCTCCCTTTCCATATCTCTAGACCTTTTCCAGATTCCATTTTGGATCAGTTTCTGCAGAGGTAGTAGGGCAGGCACTTGTTTTACTGACCCTGGACCTGGAGATCCTGAATCCTCTCATAATACTTCCCTCCCTCACCCCACGAGTTTGGTAATTTCTGCTCTGGCACCAGACGTGGGAAAGGGGAGGTCTATTCTTTGGGTTGTGCTGGTCCTGCCAAAAAGAGTCACACAGGACCCAGCCACAGGCAAAATAAATAATCAGGAGACTGTTAGTTAATATGGGAATCATGAGCTTGCAGTCAAAGGGTAGATGTCGCTCCCTCGAGTGTTTTATCACCAGACAGAGCCTGTTATAACCTGAGTCTATGTCGCTCTTTTGCAGAGTTGCCTTCTTGTGACCTCTGGGTTTTCGCTCTACTTGGGGAACGTGTTCCCCTCCGAGATGGATTACTTGCGCTGTGCAGCAGGCTCTGTAAGCGTGTTCATCAGCAACACCAGCACACTAACTCTCCCATTGTAGGTGCACGGCTCCGTGATCTGGGCTTTAGAGGTTTCTGTTAACTACTCAGCAGGTCTGACTTGTGTGTGGGAAACAGCACTTTTGTTCCTGGTGTGTTGTGATGGTTTGATGCTCTAACTCTCTTGAATTCCATCAAGGGAGTTTTAGGGTCAAGGGAGCTCCTCGTGTCCAGTAGATTGACAATGATGGTTTGCCTGTGTGACTCAGACTATTGTAGAAGCTTAAACATTGTAGCACACGAATGTCTTAGCTTTATGCTTAAACATTGTAACACACGATTGTCTTAGCTTTATACTGAGCTGAGATAAAACTCAAAAGTCTTCAGCTTGGTAGGCAAGAGCTCTAACCCTGAGCTGTACCTAGCCTGAAATGCATGGTTTCAGGGTTAGCATCATGTCCAGGGCACAAGACTCAGGTGAACCCTTGGCTCACTTGGGTTCTGGTCTCTTTACAGTGCATCCCCTCAGCAATTGTGAGCTTCGCCGTTGGGAGGAGGAATGTCAGTGCGGTAAGTTAAGCCTTCAGAACACACTGCAGACTTGGAGACCCCACAGTACTGAGGTATGGAAAGCGGATGTTGTCTTTATTTCTTTAGTATTTTTTTTTTAAGAAGGAAATGCCTCCTGCTTTGCTTTTCCAGATTCCCAACTTTCAGATATTGTTTGTTTCCACATTCGCTGTTACCACTACGTGTTTAATCTGGTTCGGATGTAAACTGATCCTGAATCCGTCAGCCATAAACGTGAGTCACTGGAAGGGGATGTGAGTCACAGAGGGTTTCCTGTTTTTACCTGAGTCTTGTCTTCCCTCCGATGTCAAATGCGGCTCTCACTGAGCAAGGGTAAGCCCTGGTTCTCCTGTGCTTCTGAAGGAATCATCTCTACTGAATTCTGAGTTATTCCATTGGACAAATCTATTAATAGATGACATTTTAATGTCTATTTCCCAACAGTGACAGGCCTGGGATGCAGTTTGGGGGCAGAGCACATGCTTCTAGTGTATTCGATGCTCTGAAATTTAGCCCATTACCATACGTGTAAAAACACACAAGCACACACACAGGGACACATGCATACACCACAACACAATAGCAACATACTACTGTATTTCATCAAATCTATGATACTGTTGGTTGTAAGGCACATGCACACACGTGCACACACACACACAAACTCACACATACAACACGACAAAATAACAATATACTATTGCATTTCAGCAAATTGATGCTGCTGTTGGTTGTAAGGCATCCTGTCATCCTATGTGCTAATGAGAAAAGTGAGAAAAAAATTACTCAAATTGTGATACTCAGTGAAAAGAAATGGCACCAGGAATAAGGATGTCCTATCTAGTCTTGTGAGAACAAAAATTCAAGGAATACACAGGTTGCTGTGGGCAGAAGGCAGGTTGTTCACTGGACACTGGGATTATTGAGTAAGTTGCCTGTAGTAAGTTGCTGGATATGAAACATAAATATAAAACTAATTGTACCACAAAAGTTGAAAATACACTCTCCCCACAGATGCTTTATAGAACTAAATGAGTAGGGTTGGGTCAGCACATGCCTGTTATCCCAGCACTTAGGAGATGGAGGGAGGAAGAGCAGGAGTTCCAGGTCACCCTTGGCTATATAGTTAAGTTTGAGAACATTCTGGGCTATATGAGACCACGTCTCAAGAAACAAACAAATAAACAAAACATATAACGTTCCTGGAAATATGTCCAAGAAGAGATTACAAACTACGAGACATATCTTTTTTTTTAAAGATTTATTTATTATATATGAATACACTGTAGCTGTCTTCAGACACACCAGAAGACAGCATCAGATCTCATTACAGATGGCTGTGACCCACCATGTGGTTGCTGGGATTTGAACTCAGGACCTCTGGAAGTGCAGTCAGTGCTCTTAACCACTGAGCTATCTCTCCAGCCCGAGACATATCTTTTAAAAGTTATTTTATGTGTTGAGGTGTTTTACCTGCATGTATGTCTGTGCATTATGTGTGTGCCTGGTGCCAGTGGAGCCCAAGAGAGGGTATGTCATTTAAAGACATACCGGATATTAAAAGACATCCAGAACAAACAGAGGGTGAGACCATAAGGCAATGCATGTCACGGTGAGAGGCTCCTCTCTAGTTCCTCCTGCAGGTCTGCCTAGGACTTGGTTCAGGGGAGCACAAAGAAGGAGAAGGATTCCTCTATGTCCTTCCACAGCCAAAACTACTAGAAAGCAATCGTAATAGAAGGGCAGGCTGGGAGTGGGATGACAGGAACTGTCATAGATACAGTCATTCCAGAGTCACATCATATGGAGGGCTTCAGGATGTCTAGCACACCTGTGACTAAGAAACATGCACGAGGGCCTTAGAGTGATGGCTCAGCAGTTAAGAGCACTGGCTGCACTTCCAAGGTCCTGGGTTCAACTCCCAGCGCCCACATGCACAGATCACAATTGTTTATAACTGTAGGTCCATGGGGTCTGATGCCCTCTTCTGGTACACAGTCATTTATACAGATAAAATACCCCTAGATGTAAAATGAATAAATAAATCTTATTTTTAAATGTGCTTGAAAGATCAGAGCCATAGTGTGAAACTTCAAACTCAAACAAATGACCCGTCTCAGAACCACTGGTGACTGAACTCTGAAAGATGGGTAGAACTGTATATCCACTTTTGTTCGTAATGTAGCAATGGACCAGCCCCAACATCACCTGGTACTTACATCTGCAGCACCTCAGTCCCACTTGGGCCAGGCATCAGAGTCCATAAGTAACTAGGCCCTTCTCCATGGCTCCAACCATACTGAGATCTGATAGTTATTGAGCCAATCGTAAAAGCTTCCTTAGACAGGTGGGGAGACCTCAAGAACACAGCATTTGACCCATTCCTGCTCAGAAACTACGCCTCATTCAAAGACATACAGAGAACAGTGAAATAGCCACAATGTGGTTGGACAGTCGGGAACATGGCTCCATCTGTGTGGGTTGTATCTCACTGTCCCGTAGGCCCTTCCTCAAATCCTCTGGTCTCTGCTAAGTACTGGGAAACCCTTGGGGTCTATGCATTGCTCTTCCCTGTTGGTAGGGCTCATCTGTTCTTGATCTCCACCTGTGCATTTCCTTGTGGGTTGGCGTTGTAATCTTGGTTGTAAGCTTGACTACATCTGCAATCAACTAAAACCTGAGCAAGCTGGGGACAACTGTGAAGGATTTTTCTTTTCTTTTAAACTTTTTTGTCTAATTTATTTACATTGGTGTTGTGTTCTTCCCCCATGTGTGTCTCTATGAGGGTATCAGATCCCCTGGAACTGGAATTTCAGACAGTTGTAAACTGCCATGTGGGTGCTGGATGCTGGAATTTTTAACCCAAGTCCTTTGGAAGAGCAGCCAGTGCTCTTAACCACTGAGTCATCTTCCCAGCCCCAGTGAGGGGTTTATTGGGATTGGATCATTTGAGGTGGGAAGACCTACTGTAACTCTGGGCCACGCCTTCTGGTGGCAGCCCACATGAAAGACATGAAAGAAGGCAGCCTTTGCTTTTCACCTGCTTTCTCTCACGTGTACTGGCAAATTCATCTGTCCTGTTACTAAGACATTCCTTTGCTCATGTTAGAACCTACTCTGTGGGGATTCCAACAGAGACTAAAGGCCAGCAGCTCTCTAGGATTCTAGCACTAGATTGGATTGGAAGCACTGAAACATCCAGTCTCATAGATGGAACAACTACCCGATCCTTGACCTTTCTGTCTGGATACTGTCTGGATACATCCATTGTTAGACTACTCTGACCACAGCTGCTATGTCACTCTAATAAAGCATTGATAAGTCTCTCTGTCTCTGTCTCTCTCTGTCTCTCTCTGTCTCTCTGTCTCTGTCTCTGTCTCTGTCACACACGCACACACACACACACACACACGCACATTCAGTTAATCAGTCTGTTCCTCTAGGACAGTGGTTCTCAACCTTTCCTAACGATGCAACCCTTTAATACATTCCTTATGTTGTGGTGACCTCCCCACCATAAAATTATTTTTGTTGCTTTTTCATAACTGTAATTTTGCTCCTGTTAGAATCATACTGTAAATATCTGTGCTTTCTGATAGTTGTAGGTGACCTCTGTGAAACAGTCCTTCAACCCCCAAAAGGGTCAAGACTCACAGGTTGAGAACGGATACTTTAGAGAGCCCTAACTAACACGGTTGGTGTATCCTGTCAGTATCTTTGAAGCTCCAAACCACAGTGGGAGGTCACATCTCACCAGTAGAGATAAGAGTCTATCCTCTGTCTCCAAGGTACCAACTTCCCAAGTCAGCTGATGTAGGGTCTCAGATACCAGGAGTGAGGTCTCTGCCACAGGCTATGCCAGTGTTCTCCTAGTTCAGAGCATCTCTCTCCTAGACATCCTCGCTACCAGCCCGAGGCTCTGTGTCCCTTGACCTCACTACCTTAGATGTATTGACTCACAGTTCCCAGTCAGGGGAAGGCAGAGGCAGCAACTTCCTGTTTTCATCCATATCTTCTCAGCCAGATAATTTTGGAAACTCTTCTCCCGCCTGTGGCCCCGCTAAGACTTGGCTTCCCTGTCAGTTACCTGTCCTCATGCTCAGTTCAGGTGGAACACACACGTCATCTTTTTCATAACAGGACTAGTTCACATGGCTTTTCCAAGAGACACATGAAGAACCATCCATCTATTTACCTGACATAGAAAAAGTGTTTGCAGATCAATATATATTGTGCGTGCGTGCATGGGTGCGTGCATGCATGTGCGTGTGACTTATCTATGCTTTATTATAGTTGATCTGTAAATATACAGTTGATCTGTAAATATAGTGGGGAGTTTGGTGAACCAGTGAATTTATTGGCATTACTTACAGGCTCATATAGTCTTGAGATGGTGACCTTGAAGGTGACCCCATATAGTCTTGAGATGGGGGAGGCTCAGAGGGAATGTTGATAGGGCAGACCTCATGAGGGTCTCCTGTGTGTCTGCTTCAAGGTGGCAATGCTCACACACAGCCCACGGAAGCCAGCTACACTTTAGCTCACTTTTGGTTGGTGAAGTGGCTTGTTCTTGGTTACTTGACATTGTATGAAGTACCCACTTTGAGTCCAGGCCTACCCTTGGATTACTCCCATCTGATAAAATGAAAACCTTGACCTCAGTTACTCCATCTTGGTTGGAAGTGCCAAGGAAGAATGACTCAGTCTACATCTTGTTTACACAATTAGAAAAAAAAAACCACCTCATTTCCCAAGAAGTACAAATTGTTAATTGATTTACTTGAGCTGGTAAATGACACCAGAACTATCTGAGAAACACCAGGCACATGAGCTTTTCAGGCACACTAGACGGAACCCCTCACAGGGACTTTAAAAGAAGGAGCACCCCAGGACAAAAGTACAACAGGCCTACTGACCAGTCATTTAGTCACCTGAGACTCTTTGAGGAAAACCACCACAGGAAAGATCTCCTGCCCACACTCCTGTGCTCAGCTTGGTTGAGCGCAGGCTTTTCTGCTAATCACACCAATCCACTTCAAATTCACCCTTGAAATGGCCTGCCACCAGGACCCACAGTTGATAGCCTTTTGCCTGAACATCTCTGCTCTCAGTCCCTTCGGTCCAGTGTATTATAGACTTTGCACATTATGTCAACTCTGCCTCTGACTTCAGGAATCTCAGTTCCTCCAGCTTCACTGTCACTGAGTCTGGTAATGCGTTTGGTTACAGGTGTTTGCTTCAGCTCTGGCGTAGTCTCCCCTACGCCAGATTTTGATGAAAATTCTCATTTTTGATGCTATTTGGTTCTTCTCACTTCTGAAAATCTGTCCCTTACTTTGTGTTGCTCAGTCTGTATTGTGTGTGTGTGGGTATGCTGTGTGGGTCTACCAGTCCTCTCTACCCTGGCCCCGGGGGTGACTGGAACTTGGGGAGGGGCTAAAATAGTTTTCTTTGACACTGTCCTTGTTGGTCTGGCAGAGCTGGGTATACAAGGCAGGTGGTCTTCAGAAGTAGCCACTCTGCTTCTAGCTCTCTGGGGGAGCTGCACTCCGTGACACGGTCTACTTCTGGCTGTCACAAGCTCCTCTTGTCCAAGAACACACTTCTGTGAATTACCTGTCACCAAACTGCCACTCTCTTCTGAGTATCCCAACTGATTATTGTCACGATCCCAGTGAAGCAGGCGCAAGGATTTATTTTAAAATATCACCCACGTATTATTGATTTCTGATATCACTGTTAGGACATGAATAAATAGTCCAAGTACATTAATCCTTTGACATTTACCAAGGCTCACTGTATGTCAAGATTTTTTTTTCTTAGTGTTCCATGGTAGTTATCAAAGAATAAACAATCTGTTTTATTTACCTGGAGAATTGCATTTGTTTTTAAATCTTGGCTTTATTACTGTCTAGATGTGGTGAAGACAGCAGTTCAGGAGACACCTGGTATTGAAAAGATAGTTATTGCTCACAGATTCCGTAAGAGGGAGCGTCCCCATCATCAGGGCCACCAGAGGGGGCACCAGAGCAATGTACAAGCAGAGATAGTGAGGGGGAGACAGGCAGGCACCTTCATTGTGGCCTCCACAGAAAAGAACAAGTCAGACAGATGGCCCTCCAGCTTAAATGGCTTCCCAGGGTGCTAGACTCAGGACAATCCCTAGTTGCCTGGATTCTGCCCTGGGGTGACAGGCAGGTGGATAGAGGCCCAGTTAGGGATACATGGGGCTGGGGGGGGGTGTTGTATACAGTGTTATTAGCCAACTCTAGTCATTAGTCATCCCTAGGAAGGTCAAGGCTCTCCAGGATCAGCATGACCACAGGCCAGCATCAGAACACATACAAAGAGGGTTTCTGTGTGCATGTGGGGTGTGTGTGTGTGTGTGTGTGTGTGTGTGTGTGTGCTGGTTGTTGTTGTTATTGTTATTGTTACTGTTGTTTTGTTTCTGGTGGGACAGGTTCTCATGATGTAGTCCTGGATGCCCTGGTTGATCTTGAACTTGACATGTAGGCCAGGCTGGCCTTGAACTCACAGAGCTCTGCCTGCCTCTGCCTCCCAAGTACTGGACTTAGGTGTATATCAACACCATGCCTTGCTGGATAAAAGTTTTTGATGTGGTTTTGCTTTTGATTAGTCAGCTTCTGAGAAACATGTGTTAAATTCTTTATCTGTAGTTGTTGGTTTATCTATTTCTTCCTGCAAGCCTGTCATTATTTTGTATATTTTGAGGTTCTGTTGGTCAAATATTACTGTATGGTCTTTCCCTTACAAATTTATTTTTAAAATCACATCTGTAGCATGCACTTATAATCCCCACAACTTGGGAGGCTGAGACAGGAGGACTGTGAGTTCAAGACTAGCCTGGACTACAGGTCTAACCTCAGCAACTTAGTAAGACTGTTTCAAAAAAGGGCTATGGGCATAGTTCAATGTTAGAGTATTTGTTTAACATACAGGGTATCTCAAGTCCAGTCCCTAGGACTACATAGTGAGTATCAGTTACATTTTTATTCATTTGTTAATTCTGCAGGGCCCAGGAGCAAGTTCCAGGCCTTGTGGATGCTAGGCTTATACTGTGCAAGTGTGAACATTTACGTAACTACTGCCACAGCTGGCCGCAAAGTGTTTCTGTCATCCTCCAAGCCTCGTGTTTGCAGTTTCTGGGAACTGCACATGGAGCTGAATATGCTGTGAACATATGTGTTCATGTTATGTGTGTGCTTAGATTGGGGAGGAAGACACAGCTCAAAGGCTTCATATAAGATGCAGTTTTGCTCGAAAGGGGCTAAAAAGTAGTTTGTCATGAGCAAACGAGAAGCGACCAAGGCCCAGGAACACAAACTCAGGTTACCTTGTGTGTGATTCCTGACGGTGTGTTCCGATGCAGAAGAGGTTATATGAACCTTTATAGGCCAGAATAAAAGGAAGTCCTAAGTCGATACATAAACCGGTATGAGCATCATCAGGTAGGCAGGCAAGTCATGAGGAGCAGGTGAGAACGTCACTTGTATACTCTGCAGATGTTCTGACATATTCTGCTTTATAGTATTGGAAACTAGAAGTTTCTTAAGTTACACATTCCAAATGATCTCCCTAGGAGTCACAGAGATGTTAGACCAGATCGTGATGCTGCCTGTGAGCAACTGTCCTGGGTTGGGTTCTCTATCTGCCTCATTCCAGTTCTTCACAGTCACGAAGTTCTAGTCATTTCAGCCAGGGTGTGCAATTTCCCGCCCAGATGAGACTTCTAGAGGGAACTTCAGCTTCTAGGCCCAGAGGCCTATGGCATGTTCTCTAATAAAACATTCAGTTAAGAGTGGTTTTTAAAACAATGCCTGGGGCTTGTGACATGGCTTAGCAGATACAGGTGCTTGCTGCTAAGCCTGACGATCTGAGTTCAATCTCCAGGACCCCACAGGTGGAAAAAAATAACTCATGCCTGCAAGTTTTGTCCTCTGACCTCTATGTGCATACTAGGACTGATGTCCCACCCCAGTGAATACACACACACACACACACACACACACACACACACACACACACATATATATATATATACAATTTGGGACAGGGTTTCTCTGTATAGCTTTGGCTATGTCCTGGAACTCACTCTGTGGTCCAGGCTAGCCTTCAACTCATCATAGAAATCCATCTGCCTCAGCCTCTCAAGTGCTGGGATTAAAGGTGTGCATGAAGCTAGCTGCTGCTGTCACCATTGCCACCACCAACAGGCTCCAATGACTAAATTTTATTCATAAATTTAAGTATCAAAAAGGTTCACAATGGAGAGAGAAAGAGAGAGAGAGAGAGAGAGAGAGAGAGAGAGCTAAAAAGTAGACCGTACAGAAGAGAGACAGTATGTTGCCCATGGTTTGCTCAGGCCTGTGACAAGGAAAGCAGAGCTGAATTAGGCAGCTGAAGGAAGATGGCAGCTTTCTGGGGGAAAGGACTAGCTTGACTGAGGTACACATTTCCTTTGCAGATTAATTTCAACCTCATCCTGCTCCTGCTCTTGGAGCTTCTCATGGCAGCCACAGTGATCATCTCGGCCCGGTCTAGTGAGGAGCCCTGCAAGAAGAAGAAGGTGGGTCTCTCACAACTACTCCCTCATGCCCCTGAGCTGGGTCTGGATGCAAGAGGCCATGGGTGGGCGGGGACTGGTAGGGGTCGAGGGACGGTTAGTCGGGCCTAGGGAGGAGATGGTACAGCCGCACTGCCTCCAGTGTCCTTCTCATCCTGTCCTGCCTTCAGGAGTGTCACTGGAACATCAGCTTTACCAAAACTGTTGGTAAGCTCTAGTTTCGGTGACTGGACACGTCCACATGTGGGGGAAATGTCTACCCTTGAGTTGTTGCTCCACGCTGAAGGGTTGTAACGCTGAGACTTTTAGGAGTGTAACTCCTGCCCATGGCAACCAGCACCCAAGCCCCGCATTCCATGGCTCCACGAGGATTTCCTTTTCTCTAGGGCTCCATCTCAGACGGCACTAACATTCTGGATGAAGTGACTTTTCCTGCTCGGGTCCTAAAGTCCTACTCTGTAAGAAAAGCCTCCCTCTTCTTTCTCTTGTTTCATTTCGACACAGTAGCTTAGGGTGGCACTGAATCATCAACCTCCCTGACTCAGCCTCCCACGCACTGCATCACAGCAGGTGCACCTGCATCACTGTGTCCATCACTGTGTCGGGCTGATGATGCTAATGACTAGGAGAACTCCATCTTCATCCCGGTCAGGCTCTGCCCTTGAGCCTCCGTGTGGGTAAAGTAGGGCCCCCCCCACCATCCACCTCCTTAGCCTTGTCTAGTGATTTCTCCACTGTCAACCTGAACAGACCAGAGAAGGGTCTGAGTCCACGGCCTTCCTTGGGGAAGGTTGTATCTACACACTGCATTCTGTGACTTCAAGGGTGTCTCTTCTCTCCCCATGGAGGTAGACCACTGGTGTGGTGGCCTACCAAGGTAACTATTATTTTTTCCCCAGGTGATAGAAGTAATTGCTGGTGTCTCTGCTGTCCTCGGTGGGGTGATCGCTCTAAATGTAGAGGAAGCTGTCTCGGGACCACATCTCTCAGTGACCTTCTTTTGGATTTTAGTGGCTGTGAGTACTTCCTGGATGGTCACCTTGTCCACGTACAGCTAGTTAGACATCACTGCAGCCACAGCTCTGAGTTTCCCTCCTTAGACCCTACATGGCTGGGGTTGTTGTTGTTGTTGTTTTCACAGTGTTGGTAACAGTCAGATAAGAAAGCACACAGGAGAGACCCCTCCCCCAAAGAATTGGGAAACCGAGGATTAAATGTATTTGTATGAAATTTTATCTTAACTGCTAGTATTATACTACTTGTCTATTTTTCTAAGAAATCCAATTGTCTTCGAGTTTTATTGTGAACAGACACCGTGACCAAGGCAACTCTTACAAAGGACAACATTTAATTGGGGCTGGGTTACAGTTTCAGAAGTTCAGTCCATTATCATCATGGCGGGAAGCATGGCAGCCTGCAGGCGGAAGTTGTGCTGGAGAAAGAGCTAAGAGTTCTGAGTCTTGATTCGAAGGTAGCCAGGAGACTTGCTTCCACAGGCAGCCAGGAGGGGACTCTGTCTTCCACACTGAGCAGAGCCTGAGCACTAGGAAGCCTCAAAGCCTGCCTACACAGAGACACACTTCCTCCAACAAGACCATACGTCCTAATGGTGCCACTTCCCATGGGCCAAGCATATTCAAAGCATCACACCAGTTATATTTTTAGAAGCTTGTGTGAAGCTCAGGGTGCATGTCTCAGGAAAGTCCATGAAGGTGCCAGAGGTCAAGGGACAGCCCTGCGCATAGAGATTGACAAGGAGGCGCAAGGAAACCCCAGTCTGGGTTTTAGATCATGAAGCAGGAGACCTCTCTTCATATTGCTTTTGGGACAACTGAATGGTGCTGCAGATAGATCCCCATTTGACTGTATTGCACTCTGCTGCCCGAGTATGTAGCACATGTTCAAGTGACCAGAGAGCACAGAATGCGACAGATGTCACCAAGGTCATCCAGGGGAGATGGAATGTCACTCTGTCATTCATGTAGGCTTTCTACAGGAAACTTGACTGGTTAAACAAATGGTCGAGCAACAAGCAGCTACCAAACCCGTGAGAGGCTCTCATGAGCCTAGGCAGCCCTGGTGTTCCTTCTACCAGACAGAAGGGTGAAATCACCGGGGCAGGAATACACAGGATTTGGCTTTCTGAACACTAGCCTCTACGTTTTTCTGTTCTCTTCCCAGTGTTTTCCAAGTGCCATTGCCAGCCATGTGACAGCGGAATGTCCCAGCAAGTGTCTGGTAGGTGAGGCCCAGTCCTTCCATTATGCCATAGGTCACACTTTGGGTGTGGCTCAAGGGCTTACAAGGAGAGGCCACGAGGGACCAGTCCACTGCCCAGGAGAGGGTCCACAATGGTCCTGGAGCCCCAGTGGCCCGGCTGTTTCTGAAAACAAGAAACAAACACTAGGTTTGGAAGCCAGAAACTCCTATAGCTAATTGAGGGATGGAGGAAGAGACCAGTCCTTTAGCTTCATCTCCTTTCCTGGGGGCTGGTTAGCTCTTAGCAGCTGTTAGCAACTGTCAGTCTTTGGGCCTAACCGATCTGCAAATGAGTCTGTGCTGGGTCATCTGGTCCTGACACAGGGGGGAGGTTAGAAGACTAGATCTTAGAAGAGAGAGAGAACTGAGTAGCATACAGGAGCTGATTTTTTTTTTCTTCCTCACATTAGAGGGTTACGTGTAAAATTAAAAAACTCCCACGTCATAGCCGGTGCTGAGTGAGTGAACAGAGTTTATTTAGATTCACACAGCAATCCCACCGCACACACTCAGCAGGCAATTGCTGGCCACACGTACCACTCAACAGTCTGCTTCCCTGCCAGGTGGAGGTGCTGATCGCCGTCAGCAGCCTTACGTCCCCACTGCTCTTCACGGCCTCTGGATATCTGTCCTTCAGCGTGATGAGAATCGTGGAGATCTTTAAAGATTACCCACCAGCCATCAAAGTAGGTGTCCATTCTATTTTGAAACTCTTTGAAAACGGAGTTGCTTACTAACAGGGGCCCGAGGAGGGGCTATGGGGCATCTGCTGTGTTCCTGGCAGTGACCAGAATAAATGGGCACCCCACCTGAACAAAGTGGCTTTGCCCAGTTTGCTGTGGGTTGGGTGGGTTTTGTGCAAAGTGAGGTTGGATCCGATTTGCTTTTTCCATGTTGGTTCTGTCCCTGCCGGCTGCTCCAGTTTCTGCTCATTGCTTTGGTTTTCCCTGCTTTTTTTTTTTTTTTTAATCTGTCTTAGCTCAGCCTTGTAATGGGCCCTCATTTCTTTCATCATGACTGGGGCTTCCCTCTGTCTTCTGACTACCCATGGGTATCTCAAGCCCAGTCATCAGGTTACCAGACGACCTACTGGGATCTCAGTCAGCCTTGCGTTAAGTTGATAGGTGGACCTGAGGGTTGGAAGTGTTCTGACTTTGTACTTTTCACATAGGATATCGCTTCCTCTGGGGCCCCCAGCACATATCAGGAGTCCTCCAGGCTCAAACACACACAGCTGGCTTGACATCTTAGATGCTTGGATTTGTTTCCAGGATGAACGCTTTTTCTGTGTTATGAGGAACCTTGTGTGTGCATCGGAAGGCAGGGCGGCTCCAGGGAGACGCTCCAGCAGCTCCTGTTGTGCTCACACATGCTTAAGATCGATGATGTCACACTCATCCGGACTGAGTGTCAAACTCTGATAACCCTTCACCCTTTGACAATTAGATGGCCCTAAAGTAAGAACAGCCCTCAATACCTCAAAGTCCCATTGTCGAGTCTAAGACGATCATAACCGGATGTTAATATTCAGCCCATATTGATCTGCACGACTGTTTTAGAGCAGGACATCTTGCTTGTTGGTCTGTTCAGTTTGGGAAAACCCTGTCCCCTGATGCTGTCTGGAGTGTGACCCCACCTGTTCATCTGTTTACAAAGATCCTGAGGAGCATGAAAGGGCCTGGAGAGGTGTAAATCACTGTGGTATCTTCCTGTTCCCCGAACCTCCCCTGTGAGCTGATGCTAATGGCTGATCTTTTCCTGGGGAGGAAGATAAAGGTGAGGGCCAGGCTGGCATATTGCCAGACAGACAGCTTTGGTGTTAGTCAAACACTACTGAGGACCCTCAAGGTCTCTAGTATTTTTAGAGTACTGTTGATGTTCTTCTCTCTGTGCCAACCGTGACCCAGATGCATCCAGAGGACACCTTCCAGGTGAGCATTCCTGTGAAGCATCAGTCTCCCTGGGTGGGCACTGAAGACAGCCTTGGCTCATCTTTTATGACCTTGACCCAGACAGGAGCAGGACACAGAGGTCAGAATCTGCCTCTGTGGGCTCTCCCTGCTTCAGGTCCCTTCTGAGCCTGTTCAGTGAACAGACCTGGAAAGAACTGTATGTTTACAGACATGTGCTTGTATTGTTTCCAATTCAAGCTGAACATTCTTGGGTTTTGTTTTTGTTTTTATTTTTCCTCTTTTGACTTATTTGATATTTTTTGTCTTTTTACTCCTAACCCAAACATGATATCTATGATAACATTTAATATTCTACTTAATTGTATCTTATAATAGACACATGAATGACCCAATTATAAGAAAGCAACAATGCTACCAAGAGACCACCTCCTCAACTAGTCTGTGTTTTGTCTGTGTGTGTGTGTGTGTGCGTAATGTTGTTGTTGGTTTTTTTGAGACAAGGTTTCTCTCTGTAGCCCTAGATGTTCTGGAACTAGCTGTGTAGACCAGGCTGGCCTCAAACGCACAGAGATCCACCTGCCTCTACCTCTTGAGCGCTGGGATTAAAGACAAGAGCCACCACTGCCCAGCATATATGTATGTATGTGTGTGTGTATTTAACATTAATCTCAGAAAGAGTGACTCTCATATGCTGTGTGATAAAAATCCCTTTTTGTGTATGATTTTGCTATCGATTTGATAAGTGGTGAAATCTAGTGAGTTCTGGGTGTAGTCAACATTAAGGGCTGTTGCATTTTACATTACATGTTAAAATATACATTACTGATAATTTAGAACATAGAACGTGGCTCAAAAGACAAAGCTGAAGACAAGGTTAACTCTGAGAAGCAGGGGTGCAGCCTCCTCATGAGCTACCACACTGTGATAATTTTCTCTCCCCCCTACAAAGCACATTGGGCATTTTAATCTATTCTGTGTCAGGGGTCATTTTTAACCCAATAATTTATCCTGGTGTTTTGTAAGCACTCAGAGGGACAGGGCTCTTCCGTGCTCCTTCATTGCCCTGTTCAAATGTTACCCCATGGACCTGACAAGGCCCTAGTGTCAGGAGCTGGGTGATGTCTGGCCATCTGCTGTTACGACTAGCTCCTAGTGACCAGATTTTATGCACATTTCATGTGAATTTGAGGATGAGCATCCGGGAGAGAAACTACAGAGAGAGCAGATGTTTCTGTATTAAGTCTTCACCAGAAAGGTTTCTTGCTCAAGTTTTCCAGGGCCCGGCAAAACCACTGGCTGAATCTGACCTTCCTCCAGATGCTTCATCATTGCTAAAGCCCCACTTACACACAAATCCACGGTTCTCTCAGTCCCTCAACACACTTTTCATGGGCTGCACCCCTGTTTGCAGGTCCTCTCCTGCTATCCCACTGGCTCACCCAGCTTGTCAGCATGTACAGGGGCTGTCCTGGGCTGATGGTAGAGGGAGAGGGAGCTGTGGTGAGTCTATAAAGTGAATAAATAAGTTAATTAAAAAATATTTTTGAGGCAAGATCTCAGTGTATAGTCTGGGCTAGCCTTGAACTTGAGATCTTCCTGCCTGGGTCTCCTAAGTGCTGGGATCATGGGCTCACACCACCATGCCAGTCAGCACCATGTCCTTGGTGTGTTAACATTTAGTTGCTCTGTGTTTTTGTGGGCTGATGCTGAAAGGCAGCCTCTGGTTGCTTTGTGGGTATTTCTGAAACACTCCTTAACGTGTGAATTGCATTCTATTGCCTCTGGCTCCTGGGCTGTCAGGACAAGGACTCATGCCCTGTCTTCTTGTTCTCCCTTCTTGCCTCTTCTTCACCACCTTCAGGTGGTCAGGACACTTTGCTGGTAGGTCTGGGCCCAGCCAAGGACTCTCTATCCAGAGCCAACTGTACCAATTTCAGGACTGTGTTTCCTGCAGATATATAATTGAAAATGTTGGTCTCTCCCGCCCTTTGCACACTCTCAGCATGAACCACAGGAGTCTCACGTGCTCTTTGTCTTCCCTACAGCAGTTGGATCAGAAGGAATACAACCTGGGTCCTCTTTACACTTACTCATTAAATGGAAGGCAGAAGAATTAGTTAAACTGCAGTGTTATGACTCAGATTACTGAAGAAGAAGAAAAAAAAAAGCCTGTTTGGATTTCTAGGTCATCAAGCAGGGGTTCTGGCTCTGTTGAAACCTTAGGCAAGGAGAGCGTTTGCAGGAGTCTGCCTGTGGGCCTGTTCACATCTTGGTCTTTCCTCATAGTCCTACGATGTACTCCTGCTGCTCCTGCTGCTGCTGCTGCTGCTTCAGGGAGGGCTCAACACTGGCACCGCCATCCAGTGTGTGAGCTTCAAAGTCAGTGCCCGGCTTCAGGCTGCATCCTGGGACCCCCAGCCGTGTCCCCAGGAGCGACCAGCAGGGGAGGTGAGTAGCCTGCCTTCCTAGGATGCCCCATCGAGGGTCCTCAGAGGGTCCTTGTGAGGTAATGGATCCTTCCACTAATGCTCTTCAATGTTTGCTATGATGTTTTGGAGTTTGTTTTATTTACAGTATTAAAAATAAAGTTTGAACTAGGTTATTTTTAATGGACTAAATGAGTACAAACCCATCCATGAAAAATACCATGGCTACGGGGCTTTCAACTCCGCTCTCACAGACACAGAAAAAGCCTTCCAAAGACTCCCACAGAAGATGCCATGCTCTGCAGGGGAGGGCTGCCCCTACCCAGCCTGTGGGGCTCCCTGCAGCTAGACATTCCTATTCTGTGACCAGGGGGCTGGGAGAGTCCAGAGTCACCTGGATGGTACCCTTCCTGCCCACCCCACCCCCATCCTACATTCTGATACCCCCACCCTGAGGATGGGCCTGCTAACTTCTCCCTATGCCTGTAGTGTCTTCCTGGACAAACTTGCCCACTGCCATCAAGGGAGTGACCTGGCTGTTCTGTGCCCAAGGAGATGTCCAGGCAGGCTCCCATCTCTGTCCTGGGTCTGTGTCCTGACCAGCAGACCACAGAGACAGATGAACAGGTTGCCAGATACTAGATTCCATAACTGACCCTCTTAAGAGCTCAGAGTAAGTGTGCAAGCTATCAGTCACCCGTCTCGTGTCTGGAGGTGTGTGTCTGCCTCCACTGTCCACTTCTTTACTGTCAGTTACACTCCCATCTTAAAGCCCACCCATTGTACACATACAGACACTATGGGAAGGGATGTGGGAATTCCTAAGATGCTTTGTCCCTTCTCAAGTGACTTCCCCCTCCATTCTCATGTAAAGAAGTTTACATACAAGAACACATCAGATGCCTTGCACACTCAGCCGAGTCCGCCTTCCTTCCAGGTCAGACCCTGATGAGGTGACATTGTCCTTTCTTTTATCACAGGTGGTCCGAGGCCCTCTCAAGGAGTTTGACAAAGAGAAAGCCTGGAGAGCTGTGGTGGTACAAATGGCCCAGTGACTACAGGATAAAGAAACTGAGTCTGGGTGTCTGCCTGGCCCCCGGCATACTCCACTGTACGGACTCTAACCATCAGTTGGCTACTGCTTTCTAACATACTCTTTCCCTCCCGTGAGGGCAGCCCAGGCTGCAAGGTTGGGCTTTTTGTTTCTGGTAGTAGTTTAACTTTGGAACAGGCAAATGTTGAGTGTCTGGCCCTGTTAGGTGTCAGTTGTGTGCATCTCAGGTGACCCTGATGGCCTGGGTGATGCTTGTTTTCCAGCCCTCCTCACTACCTGATTTGACCCTCATTCACCAGAATCTGGTATTTTGGCCTTAGGGGGCTTCCACATCTTTGCATGCTTGCTACAGTGCGGGATAGTTTGGCTGTGAGACTCACAGATGGTTTGCATACTGTCTCCCAAACCCCAGAGAACAGTTGGATTCTCCCAGCTGTCAGAGAAACAAGGAATATATAGTAAGTTGGGTCCTTTGTGAAACTGGGGATCATTTTAGGAATTGCTTTCTGGGAGGGGAGCCTCTGTGCTTGGAAAGACACCGTGCTTTTACAGAGCTGGGGTGGCAATGGACTCCCTTCCAGGGAGGACAGGGGAAAGAACAGAGGTACGTGTTATGCCTCAGTAGAGCTGGTCAGGGAGATACTGAAAATCCTCCTGGGCATCTCACTTGTAGATACTCATGACTCTGACAGGATTCACGAAAAACATAGTCATTTCCAAACAGAGAGATGTGAGGAAGGCACCTGACAGGGAGAATGTACAAGCAAAGCAGCTACATCTCCAGCGTCAGGGATTTCCGGTCCTATCTTCATCCTCTGCGGCTCCAGAGAGCTGGACCTGCCCCTAATAAGTTCCATGAGAGGCCATTCTTGCCTGCCTATGTGCAGAGCCCACTGGGCTTTGGGCCTACTGCAGCTCTCCCACGTGCTGTTGGGTAGGAAGGGAGCCGTGGTCACACAGGGCTGGCAAGCCATCTGCTGAGAGACATGAACTTTCAGGACCAGAATGAGGCGGCAGGAGGATTGTTGCCAGCTTGCACTTTCTAATTTTAGAGTTTAAAAAAACAAACAAAAAAAACCCCGACTCATATAAATGGGGTCTGAAAATTGTCTCTTGTATACTTTTGTTTGTCACAGATTAATATGCTTGAGCAATAAACGCTAACGTGCAAATGTGGTCATAGCCTGTTAAATGCTTCTGGGGAGAGAAAAGGGTGGAAGGGGATGAGAAGTAGATCCTTAGAGTGAAAAGCCATTTTTTATTTATTCCTTGGTTTGTATAACACCGGTGACTAAAGACTAGATCACCAGTCAGGGAGAAGACTCCTGCAACACCTGTTAAACAAAGATGCCTTTAAACAAGTTGTCCTCAATCTTCCTAAAGCTGAGATCCTTTAATACAATCCCAGATGTTGTGGTGACTCCCAACTATAAAATTATTTCGGTGCTGCTTCATAACTGTAATTTTGCTAGTTGTGAATCGTCATGTGATACGTGACCCCTGGGAATGGGAGAGCGACCCACAGATTGAGAACCACCCCTTTAAACCAGTTTACAACGTCGTGAAGTTTGCGCTGTAAGACAATGACAACTCTGGCAGGTGCTGGGCCTTCCTGAACACGGCCCAAGGTGCCACTCACTTAGGCACAAACACAGGACAAACGTAGGGACTAACCTGGTAAGGCCTAGATGCCAAGTGGTGCTGGCTGTCGGGAAGGGACAGCCTGGAAACACCAACGGCACAGCACAGGCACCCCACTAATGAACCTAGGTACCAAGTCCTCTCTGTGTTCCTCTGGGCACAGAGGGCTTACACTGCCCACCCCGATTTCAGTAGTCACTCAACTGGCAAGGAGAGAACACCAGCCTGGAAGGACCCTCGGACTCCATTCATCCCCACCTCAGGCCTAAGTGGAGGCTTCTCATGGACAACAAGGGAGCCAGGAGGGAGGAAGCCGAGGGTGGGGCAGGGTGTGACCCATAGTCTTTGTGACTTGGTGTAGTCTGAGTCCCCGGGTTGTCTGTGTGACCCTGACAGGTGCGTGGGAGATGTGGAGCAGGAGCACATGACCCAGGCGAGGGTCGCAGGCACTTAAGGACTAATCCTGACACATGGCCTGCTCCGTCCAGGGACCTAGTCCCCGCCCTCGCCCCCGACCCCACCCCCGCCCAGGCCCTGGCCGCTCCTTGGACCGTAACACGGGACTGGATCTAGAACCAAGGCACAGTGTGAATGCCAGCAACTGCGTCCGGACTGCGTCTCGGGTGCCCTCTGTGCGCCGCTGCCAGCGGACTCCTCTTCCACGCAGCCCTCCGCAGCCTCTGCCGCCTGTGCGTCCACGAAGCCCCACACCCCGAGTGGGGCGCCGCTCAGCACGCCGAAAGCCCCGCCACCAGCGCCAGGGGTCTGCACAATGCTTGGCGCAGGCAAAGCCGGTTGCCCTGGGCAACCGCAAGACGCCTGGCCGCTCGGCCCGCCGCTCGGCCGCAGCAGCACGCGCTTCAGGGCGGGTCCCAGGTGAGCACAGCCTGCCCTCAGACGCGCCACGCCTGCCCTCGCTGGCACCCAGGTCCCCCTCCTACCCCGTGCTCGGAACCCCGCCCCGCCCCCTCCGATTGGAATCCCAGGCCTCGATCCTTAGAACCACAGAACTTTCCCAGCTTATCCTGCTCCACTTACCCCCTCCACTTTCACCCTACCAAGCCTGTTCAACCTTCTTTTCCTCACCTTCCCATTTCCCTCCAAACTTCGTAACTGCCTCCCCTTTCTGACCCTAAACCTGCGCCCCAATTTGTGTCCTATCACCCTACCTTGACCTCTCCTTCTTAGCTCCAGACCTGTTTTCCTCTCCAGACTGAATGTCCCACTTGGACTTCCCTAACTCTGGCCCAAATTTATCTCTTCAACCCCATACTTACCTCCTTATCCCCGAGTTCTCCCCCTACCCTAACTTACCTCACTCTCAGACCTGTCTCCCATTGACCTTTCTTCTCATCTGACTTCTCACCCCAAGTCTCTCACTCATGTCATGTCCCCTGAACCCAAATCCCGCTTTCAGGCCTCCCTCCCACACCCAGGTCCCCCGAACCCCACCCTTACCTCCCTGGGTATGTCTGACCACTATACCTCTGTCAGCAGGGGCTGGGGGCCAAAGAAACCAGCTACGAGAGGCAAGCATGGAGAACGGCGAGAGAAAGAAGCTGTCTTCCACTTTGTCGGATGGAGATCACAAAGAAGAAAATAGTCTGTACCTTTCTTGTTCCGCATTTTCGACAGCCTTACTCAAAGGATCAGGCATGGGGTTTTGGGAACTGTGGAGGAGGCCCAGACTCTGGGCTCCTGAGGCTTCAGAGGACGTGAAAATCAGATATATTGATCATGTGAGACTGTTCTGGTCGTACAGGGTAAAATATAAAGCCCTTTATCCTAGTGGGCTACTGCACTTGCCCTTCAGACATGGTTCACATTCACTGACGAATACCTAAATATCTATAAGTAAAATCATGTGTCGTAGATGGGTACACGTTTAGTTTTAGAAGATATAGTTCAGGGCTTGGGAGAGTGGTACACGCTTTTAATCCCAGCACTCAGGAGGCAGAGGAAAGAGGATCTCTGTGAATTCGAGGCCAGCCTGGTCTACAAAGCCAGTCCAGAGCAGCCAGGGCTCTGTTACACAGAGAAACCCTGTCTGGAAAAACAAAACAAAACAAAACAAACAAACAAAAAAGAAGATACAGTTCAGGCTTACCAGCTGGGGCAGTCCCCACTGGCCACACAGTTGCCAGTGCCTTGGCCTTTAGATCACTCTGGTGGGTGCTGCCAGTCTCTCTATGGCTTTTATTGGCGGTTCTCTTACATCCACCATGTGTCAGATCACTGTGTTAGAAATACATCTGTGAGCCGGGCGGTGGTGGCGCACGCCTTTAATCCCAGCACTTGGGAGGCAGAGGCAGGAGGATTTCTGAGTTCGAGGCCAGCCTGGTCTACAGAGTGAGTTCCAGGACAGCCAGGACTACACAGAGAAACCCTGTCTTGAAAAAAACGAAAAAAAAAAAAAGAAATACATCTGTGGCTGGGGTTGGTTGATTGATTTCTAGGGATTAAGTTGATTTTGTTTTTCTTTCTTTTTCTGTTTGTTTGTTTGTTTGGTTGGTTGGTTGGTTGGGTAGTAGGTTGGTTTTTTCAAGACAAGATTTCTCTGTGTTGCCCTGGCTGTCTTGGAACTCGCTATGAAGACCAGACTGGCTCCAAACTCAGAGATCTACCTGCCTCTGCCTCCCTAGTACTGGGATTAAAGATGTGTGCCACCACCACTACCACCCCTTGAAACAAGGTCTCACCATGTAGTTCTGGCTATCCTGAAACTCTCTATATAGACCAGGTAGAACTCACAAATATCTACCTACTTCTGCCTCCCTAGTGCAGGGATTAAGGGTGTGCATATATATCTTGGCTGGCCCAGAACTCACTCTGTAGACCAGACTGTTTTAAACTCATATAGATCCACCTGCCTCTGCCTTTCAAATGCTGGGATTAAAGAATACATCACAATGCCCAGCCTGTGAATTTCTAGTGTTAAGGAGGCCTACTTACTGATCTTTTCATATGTAATGAGAGCCCTTGTATCTTAAAGATTCTACCCACTTCCTTGCAGAAGGTAATACCTTTTGCTTTGCTTTTAGAAGCTTGGTCTTTTCACTTCTTACAGTTCCGTCAGACACCTAAGGGAATCAAGGAAGATAAGACTTGCTATCCTCATCCTAAATTTGAGTATTCAGTGACTCAGCTGCTGCCTTGGCAGTGTTTCTTTGGAGTCAAAGAGGTGTAGGTCTTTTGAGAGGCTAACCATTCTGCTGTCCTGATTTTTCTGCTCATTCTTTTTCCACACCAGTGTTTTCAGTGCAGAGGTTTTATAATTAAGAACTCTGACGTTGTCCTTCAAGGTTGTCTAGGATCTCTTGGACTTTTGCACTACTGGGTAAAATTTAGGACCTGATTAACATATGCATATACACACACATACACACATACACATAAACACACATATACATACACATATGCATACACATATACATATATATACTGCCAGAGTTGTCATTATAGTTCATGTTGAATTTATGGGCCAGTTAACATCTCAATATTAAATCTTTGGGAACAGGAACATTTAGTTATCTAATTCTTCTCAGCAGTGGTTCATGGTTTTCATTGTGCAAGTGTACAGTATGTCTTTTGCTGGATTTATTCCTATATATGTGGTGTTTTCAAATGCTGCTATAGATGGCTTTTTCATTTCATTTTCCTGTGTGTGTGTGTGCGTGTGTGTGTGTATGTGTGCGTCTGCCTCTCAAATGCTGGGATTAAATGTAACCGCTGGCTTTTCCACCCATGTTCAAGTTTCTGAAATAACAACTCTGAGAACTTAATGTTTCTCGAATAAATGTGAAACCATAGCTGGGGCCATAGCTTGCTCCCCAACTAGCTTGTAATTTAATTAACCCATTTATTCTATTCTGAGAGTGCCACATGGCCGGTTACCTCGTCACAGTTTTATGCAGCCAACCATCTCCATCATCATTAGAGGTGAATGAATCTCTCCTGTGCCTGAAGAGAGTCACTCTTCCTGCCGGGACATCCCACCTCCTATTTCATGCCAAAGCTAATAAACCAATGACTTTTTATTGACAGGTGATACTTCCACACAGTGCACAAGAGATTCTCTCTGTAATTAAGTGTATGTTCTATCAGATGGATCTCTATGAGTTCGAGGCCAGCCTGGACTACACAGAGAAACCTTGTCTGAAAATTAAAAAAAAAAAGTTTTTCAAGTGTGGTGTGTGTGTGTGTGTGTGTGTGTGTGTGTAAGGCAGAAGAAGGCATCTGATTACCCAGAGCTCAGATTACAGGCATTTATGAGATGCCTTGTAACATGGGCACTAGAATATGAACTCAGTCCTCACGACTAAGCAACAAACACTCTAAACCACTGAGCTATCTCTCCAGCCTCTGCTTTTAAGTTGTTTAATTTTAACAATTACCAACTGTTATGGTATGTTTTCTTCTGCATCTGTTAGATCATAGTGTTAATTTTATATATTAATATGGCAGATTGTGCTAACAGCTTCTCAGACCAACCTTGTATTTTTGGGATAAACTCCATTTGGTAGTGTTTTGGTTTT